GGGGGCTGATGTTAAAATGTACTCGCAACACGGGTACTTACAACGATGGTTCCGTTTGTGTCATACTTATAACAATGGTACTGTTGGTCTATCATACTTACAACGATGGTACCGTTGTGTCATACTTACAACGATGGTACTCTTCTATCATACTTACAACGATGGTACCGTTGTGTCATACTTACAACGATGGTACCGTTGTGTCATACTTACAACGATGGCACTCTTCTATCATACTTACAACGGTGGTACTGTTCTATCATACTTACAACGATGGTACCGTTGTGTCATACTTACAACGATGGTACTGTTGGTTGTAGTGACGCTCTGTTTGGCTGGTGAGTTGTTGAGAGAGCTGTGGTCTGTATACACGTGGTACAGTTTGCCGATGGGAGAGGCTGGCACGGACGGTGTACCGGAAATATGAGCATCGACCTCCAGAGGTCGGCCATGTGCGCCTGATGTGGTACTTCCTGCCGACCTGGTCCTGCGCACTGTGGCTTTTCTTGAGGATTTCCTCACTAGAGTTCCAGTTCTGATAAGCATTGACATTCTAGGGGCAAAGAATTTAAACACATTTGGTAATTAAGTGACTAAAACTAATTTGATATTTAAGTAATTTAAACAAATAGTTTAAACATATTTGGTACTGAATTAAGTAATTTAAATATTTGGTACTGAATTAAGTAATTAAAATATTTGGTACTGAATTAAGTAATTTAAATATTTGGTACTGAATTAAGTAATTAAAATATTTGGTACTGAATTAAGTAATTAAAATATTAGGTACTGAATTAAAAATAAAAACTATTTGGTACTGAATTAATAATAAAAACTCTTTGGTACTGAATTAATTAATTAAAACAATTTTCGTGATGGATCAGATGAAAAAAACACTTGTTTGTTAATTGTATAAAAACACCCTTATTCTGCATTTAATAAAATGGAAGAAACATAGTTTCCAATATGTGTCTGATTAATAATGGTATATATTTTTACTTTTTTTAACATTTGAAAAAACGTTCATGACACGTACACGTTTGTAGAAAAGAAACGAGTTTTAGAGAGCTTAAAAATAATTTTTCTTGCGTCATTATTCAGCATTACAAATAGGGTTCAAAATGCATTAAAATGCCATAATTATAAACAAAGAAAACTATTTAAGGGGAAAGAAGCGAGTTAACAATGCCCTCCCCTACTCTCACACGTGACATTCATAAGAGGAGAGGTCAGACTCTTCTAGCAAGTTTTTTTTTTAAAAACTCTCACACAAATCAGGACATGATGGAAATGTTTTTTTAGGCTTTTATAGGGGTTTTGTATGATGTGTATACTGTATCACAGAGTTATTTTACCGTGTGATTATATCTTAGGATTATGGCATTTGATTTTATCATTTTATTATATATCATGTTATCATTACCTGTGGTGCTACATTAACCTTGTGTAACATTAGTCTAACATGAATAAAATACTTTTACAAAGCGACTTTAGACCACACGTCAATGTAAAATACAATAAAGCGGAAAAGCGTTCAATTCAAATGTTTTTAATTTAGTTCTCTACAACTAAAGATACAAGGGAGGTGATTGATTTATTAAATGCTCTGTTGACGAATAAACCCTTATAAGGCTGCACTTATTTTCTGATTCAAGTTTTACTGTTTTTATCAAAAGTTCTTGTAAATATTTTTTTTTATCTTAACCCGTGGTTGCTGCACAGCTATAGCAATACATTTGAAAAGTAAAAATTAAATGTTGACAATTTCTTTTTCTCTGTATAACGATTTAGCTTTGTAACAAAACAAGGTTCACATATTGACGTTTTTTTTATATCATAGACATACATAAGAAACATTTTAATTTGATAGGTTCGTCCTGTATACCACAGCCCACCCAGCTCATACTTTGCGAACACAGATAGCCACTGTATAGAATCACTTTTAAGTTTAAGTTATGCCTTAAATATTTTGCCGGCTAAGATTTGAAACACATTGAACAAACTAAAGAAGCCACTGTATAGAATCTCGTTAAAGTTTAAGTTATGCCTTAAATATTTGCCTGCTAAGATTTGAAACACATTGAACAAACTAAAGAAGCCACTGTATAGAATCTCGTTAAAGTTTAAGTTATGCCTTAAATATTTTGCCGGCTAAGATTTGAAACACATTGAACAAACTAAAGAAGCCAATGTTACTTGCCGTCCATAGGGACTGAGCTGCGATTTTTGGAAGAGAATCGCCTCTGGCATTTTCAAAAGAAATCAATCGGGATTTCTCCAGGCTTCCGTTGTGTGAGGTTTAATCATAGAATGACAGTATAATGTTACGTCTGCCTCTAATTATTTAATGGATTAATGACCCTCAAAACCTCGGTCTTATCCTGTTATTTTATACATTTTCCTTTTTATTTTTTTCAAAATTAAAAAGTTTTTCTTGCACTTCTTACGATTCTCTTTTACTTGAACCTAACCTTACACTAAACCACACGTTGTATTTTACTTGAACCTAACCTTACACTAAACCACACGTTGTATTTTACTTGAACCTAACCTTACACTAAACCACACGATTCTATTTTACTTGAACCTAACCTTACACTAAACCACACGATTCTATTTTACTTGAACCTAACCTTACACTAAACCACACGTTGTATTTTACTTGAACCTAACCTTACACTAAACCACACGTTGTATTTTACTTGAACCTAACCTTACACTAAACCACACGTTGTATTTTACTTGAACCTAACCTTACACTAAACCACACGTTGTATTTTACTTGAACCTAACCTTACACTAAACCACACGATTCTATTTTACTTGAACCTAACCTTACACTAAACCACACGTTGTATTTTACTTGAACCTAACCTTACACTAAACCACACGTTGTATTTTACTTGAACCTAACCTTACACTAAACCACACGTTGTATTTTACTTGAACCTAACCTTACACTAAACCACACATTGTATTTTACTTGAACCTAACCTTACACTAAATCACACGATTCTATTTTACTTGAACCTAACCTTACACTAAACCACACGTTGTATTTTACTTGAACCTAACCTTACACTAAACCACACGATTCTTTTTTACTTGAACCTAACCTTACACTAAACCACACGATTCTATTTTACTTGAACCTAACCTTACACTAAACCACACGATTCTATTTTACTTGAACCTAACCTTACACTAAACCACACGATTCTATTTTACTTGAACCTAACCTTACACTAAACCACACGTTGTATTTTACTTGAACCTAACCTTACACTAAACCACACGTTGTATTTTACTTGAACCTAACCTTACACTAAACCACACGATTCTATTTTACTTGAACCTAACCTTACACTAAACCACACGTTGTATTTTACTTGAACCTAACCTTACACTAAACCACACGATTCTATTTTACTTGAACCTAACCTTACACTAAACCACACGTTGTATTTTACTTGAACCTAACCTTACACTAAACCACACGTTGTATTTTACTTGAACCTAACCTTACACTTAACCACACGATTCTATTTTACTTGAACCTAACCTTACACTAAACCACACGTTGTATTTTACTTGAACCTAACCTTACACTAAACCACACGATTCTATTTTACTTGAACCTAACCTTACACTAAAAGAAACGTTTGTCAAACTGTAAGTAGGGAAACGGTAAGTTAACAGTGGAAGACATTTTTTTAACATGAGTACATATGAGCTGTGACCAAAATCCCAATCAGAATTTTCGAAGCAAAATCTTATCAATAAAAAACAATCGAGCCAGGCAAAAGATGACAAGAATATTAAAAAAATCTGTCACAAATTTGAAATAAAAAAGACTGGGTTATAATCTATAGGCGGGTGGCAAAAAACGGAATAATTAGAGAGGGTTGTAAGGAAGGACGGGAAGAATATTAAACGTTGTAGGTTTAACTCGGGGCTACCTGATAATAGCTATAGATGCGGGTAATTAGAGGGGCCTGTTGATGGATGGATGGGTAATGGGATGTGGTGAGGCAAGGTGCTGGGAGAGGTGACCTGGAATTTTATGGGACGAATAAGAAAACTGGTGGATATGAAGGACTGTGGTAAAAAAGACTGGATAGGTGGGATAGTGGATAAGAAGGGTTGTGAAAAAGAAGAACTGTCGATAAGGACAGTGGATAAGAAGAACTGTGGTTAAGATCGTCTCTGGATAATAAGGACTATGGATAAGGACAATGGATAAGATGGACTGTGAATAAATAAAAGACGGTGGATAAACATAATGTGGATTGGTGGGGATGGATCATAATGATAATGGATCGGGAATGTGGAAGTTCTGAAGCGTGATAAATCGTGTGTTGTTAAAGTAGTGGTAATATGATGTAATGGATGCTATGTTATCAATGGTCGTAGGCATGTAATAAAAGTAAATATCCGAGATTGACAAGATGATTAGGGCTGGTTGAAATAAACATGAATTGACGAGGCAAGTAGGGACTAATGAACTTGCGGAAATACAACGTAAACTGTCAAGAAATTGGATAAGCAAAATGGTGGATCAGTGAAATTGTGGATTTGATAAAGTCGAGAATAATGGACGTGACAAGTAAAAAAATGTCGATTGAATAAACATAAAAAGTTTAAAATCTATAGGGTGTTAGTTTTTATCCTAATTTTAATTTGCTTTGTCTTTTCTCCATAGCAACGAACTAGTTAAGTCAAAGTACTCTCCAGTAATTTATTTAAAACTGTATCAACTCACGTGCCATTTTTAATGCCTTTAATGTTACCTAAATAGTTAGCATGTCATAGTGGTAACAGGAAGTATTTTAAAGGTACAGTGAATGATTGGCTAGCAAGTAACGACATAAATGATTGGCTAGCTGAAGCAAGTAACGACATAAATGATTGGCTAGCTGAAGAAAGTAACAACATGAATGATTGGCTAGCTGAAGCAAGTAACGACATAAATGATTGGCTAGCTAAAGCAAAGTAATGACATGAATGATTGGCTAGCTGAAGCAAGTAACGACATAAATGATTGGCAGGCTGAAGCAAGTAACGACATGAATGATTGGCTAGCTGAAGCAAGTAACGACATAAATGATTGGCTAGCTAAAGCAAGTAACGACATGAATGATTGGCTAGCTGAAGCAAGTAACGACATAAATGATTGGCTAGCTAAAGCAAGTAACGACATGAATGATTGGCTAGCTGAAGCAAGTAACGACATGAATGATTGGCTAGCTGAAGCAAGTAACGACATAAATGATTGGCAGGCTGAAGCAAGTAATGACATGAATGATTGGCTAGCTGAAGCAAGTAACGACATAAATGATTGGCAGGCTGAAGCAAGTAACGACATGAATGATTGGCTAGCTGAAGCAAGTAACGACATAAATGATTGGCTAGCTAAAGCAAGTAACGACATGAATGATTGGCTAGCTGAAGCAAGTAACGACATAAATGATTGGCTAGCAAAAGCAAGTAACGACATGAATGATTGGCTAGCTGAAGCAAGTAACAACATAAATGATTGTCTAGCTGAAGCAAGTAACGACATGAATGATTTGCTAACAAGTAACGACATAAATGATTGGCTAGCTGAAGCAAGTAACGACATAAATGATTGGCAGGCTGAAGCAAGTAATGACATGAATGATTGGCTAGCTGAAGCAAGTAACGACATAAATGATTGGCAGGCTGAAGCAAGTAACGACATGAATGATTGGCTAGCTGAAGCAAGTAACGACATGAATGATTGGCTAGCTGAAGCAAGTAACAACATAAATGATTGTCTAGCTGAGGCCAGTAACGACATAAATGATTGGCTAGCAAGTAACGACATAAATGATTGGCTAGCTGAAGCAAGTAACGACATGAATGATTGGCTAGCTGAAGCAAGTAAACTTGTTGACTGGGCTAAAATCAGGCCAGCCGCGCGATGTAAAAATCTCATTGTGACGTGGGTTCTAGACGATAACATCTAGACGATGTATTCGATTATTAGAAAATTGATGGGCCTTGATGTTTAAGTAATCCTTACATAATCTCCTCCACTGTTGTCTAGTGGCTTGTCTATAGAATGTCCTGTCCCACTTGAATGAGAAGCATTAACTGTTTTATTATACACTTCACTTGTGCTGGGCGGTGCAGCCAGAGTGAATGCACTTGTTGTACCGTGACGCGATATTGATGTTAGGAACAGTGCTAAGATGGAACATAAAGCCTGGCGGTGTATACAAATATATTGTCTTGTTTTCTTTATGGGGATGGGTGGTGCTTGTCTTATGCATTGACTCAAAGTTTGTTGTTCGATTTCGATGTGAGTACTTTGTTAGATTTCATTCATGTCTGATTGTCGATCAGGTACAATGCTCGTGTAGAGAAGTGCGTACAGTGAAATCAGCCATCAGAACATGCATCTGAAATACGGACATAATCCAGTGACTGGGTTACTGAGTCAACGACAGTCGTTAGCCGGACAACTGACTTTAAGCGACTGACCAGTTTCTAGCTCTACTATAGACATAATTCAATATGCGACATGTAATCTGACCGTTAAAATAGAATTAAAAGATAAGTAAAATTTATGTAATCATTGAGACAGTCAATGCTTACACCTAATACAACGCTGCTACACAGGCTTTTGCTACACCAGCCACCAACATATACAACACTTCTACACAGGCTTTATCTACACCAACCACCAACATATACAACACTTCTACACAGACTTTAGCTACACCAGCCACCAACATATACAACACTTCTACATAGACTTTAGCTACACCAGCCACCAACATGTACAACACTTCTACACAGACTTTAGCTACACGAGCCACCAACATATTCAACAATTCTACATAGACTTTAGCTACACCAGCCACCAACATATAGACCTACAACACTTCTACATAGACTTTAGCTACACCATCCCCCAACATGTACAACACTTCTACATAGACTTTAGCTACACCAGCCACCAACATGTACAACACTTCTACACAGACTTTAGCTACACCAGCCACCAACATATACAACACTTCTACATAGACTTTAGCTACACCAGCCACCAACATATAGACCTACAACACTTCTACATAGACTTTAGCTACACCAGCCACCAACATATACAACACTTCTACATAGACTTTAGCTACACCAGCCACCAACATATACAACACTTCTACACAGACTTTAGCTACACCAGCCACCAACATATACAACACTTCTACATAGACTTTAGCTACACCAGCCACCAATATTTGGTTAAAAAAGTAATGTTGGATATCGCTAGATGACATCATATTCCCTTGTGGTTTATTAATGAGCCGACGGTCCAGGGCCCGATTTACCCTTCCCTGTTTTGAGACATACATTTGTACTTTCTCGTATATACAAAATATAAAGAAAGTCGTGTAAACGTTTTACACCTCCATGAGTTGAAAAAACATAGTTTTGTAATCTTTTCCGTATGTCTGTGTGTGTGTGTATGTGTGTGTGTCCGTAAACACGATAACTTGAGTACCGTTACAGCTAGGTTGATGAAATTTCATATAAAAGTATTATGTCAAAATCGTAGATCCGTATCAACTTTTGGGCGATTTCCAATAACCGGAAGTGGTACTTTTTCTACTTTCAATATTTCAATATACTATAACTTGAGTACTATTTCAGATAGATAAATGAAAATTCCCATGTAAGTAAAAGATCTAATTCTCTGCCTTCTTTCAAATTTATTTTGAGTAATTTCCTTTGACCAGACGTAGTATTTTTCGCTATTTCCGATTTCTCAAAAAACGCATGTGAATTTATAAAGAACTAGTAACATTTCGCACTATTATACACATTTTGTTTTGCGTTCACTTGGTGCGCAATTCTTTTTTCTACGCGATTTTATTCTATTTTAGATTAAAAGTAATTAAAAATGGATTAAAATTCATGTCTATTTCCCGAGTCGCCATCCCCCGTAATTTTATATAAGAATATTCGAGAAAGTTTAGGGGAGATCGCTCTCGGTTTATTCAAATTGTTTTACCCGCGTGGTGGATAAAAGATGAGTTCAGCTGGTGGTGAAACATCACACGGTCAAGCCGGTGCGTGACCTTTGAACTTTGCTGCTGATACTGTAAGGTAAAGTCTCATATTTTATAGTAGATATCATGGCAATGTGCAGTGGCTTGGGTCGGGGTGTTGAGTTGAGGGGTGGGGGTGTTGACGGGCGAGGTGAGTCTAATTATCCTTAATTAAATGTGTGTCGGGCAGGGAGGCCACACATTCTAACATTGGGGTGGGTTAAAAGGTGGGGGAGGGGAATATCTAGCGAGAAGATGACATGAATGTGTGTAAAGTGTTGGAGCGGGGTTGGGGGGAGTCCTGTCATGCTATTGTGTGGAGCGGGGTTGGGGGGAGTCTAGTCGTGCTATTGTGTGTGGCGGGTGTAGGGGAGTCTAGTCATGCTATTGCGTGGAGCGGGGTTGGGGGGAGTCTAGTCACCCTATTGTGTGGGGCAAGTGTAGGGGAGTCTTGTCACCATATTGTGTTCACGAGGATTAGTCTAAGGAGACATACAGTACCCAGTCATACACTAGACCTGGTATCATATATAAACGTGTAGTCTAAAACCCAGGAGGAGGCTAGACCATGATATCATAGTTAAACGTGTCAGGATACCAGGACATTTTCTTTAGCATTGGGAAATTTGCATCCAACATAATCCATCCTATGGATTTTATAAAAAAATGGGGTATTCCCGATTTAATTCGAGAGGTGAAAATTAACTTTTTTGCCAGCTTAAAATAAAAATGATACCTGAAATAAAAATTCATTCAAGAGGTTTATGTGTGTCTATAAAATTGTGAAGGGAGATTTATATGTGTCAATTAAATCTGTGTCCATATCAATCATGCAGGGATGTCGATGTGTGTTGATAAAATAATGCATGAAGGTTTATATGTCGATTGAGTCACTCAAGTAAATAACAGGTTGGTGGGTCGATATAGTGATCGTTAATTTGCGGATGCTTGTCTAATTGCCGAGAATTCACGAAAATAACGACCGTAAATACACGAAACAACGGTGCGATACAACGTGTTTAACTAAGTCAAGATCGTGGTTAGGCGAGCTTAAAGATTTTAAACAGGGTGTGTTCATACATGGTTTTATTCAGTTAGATTTGAGGATAAATTTAATCATTTAGGTATGAGATATAAGTCAATGTTTTTATTCCGGTAGATTTGAGGATGAATTTAATCATTTAGGTATGAGATATAAGTCAATGTTTTTATTCCGGTAGATTTGAGGATAAATTTAATCATTTAGGTATGAGATATAAGTCAATGTTTTTATTCCGGTAGATTTGAGGATAAATTTAATCATTTAGGTATGAGATATAAGTCAATGTTTTTATTCCGGTAGATTTGAGGATAATTTAAATCATTTAGGTATGAGATATAAGCCAATGTTTTTATTCCGGTAGATTTTAGGATAAATTTAATCATTTAAGTATGAGATATAAGTCAATGTTTTTATTCCGGTAGATTTGAGGATAAATTTAATCATTTAACTATGAGATATAAGTCAATGTTTTTATTCCGTTAGATTTGAGGATAAATTAAATCATTTAGGTATGAGATATAAGTCAATGTTTTTATTCCGGTAGATTTGAAGATATATTTAATCATTTAGGTATGAGCTATAAGTCAATGTTTTTATTCCGGTAGATTTGAGGATAAATTAAATCATTTAGGTATGAGATATAAGTCAATGTTTTTATTCCGGTAGATTTGAAGATAAATTTAATCATTTAAGTATGAGATATAAGTCAATGTTTTTATTCCGGTAGATTTGAGGATAAATTTAATCATTTAGGTATGAGATATAAGTCAATGTTTTTATTCCGGTAGATTTGAGGATAAATTAAATCATTTAGGTATGAGATATAAGTCAATGTTTTTATTCCGGTAGATTTTAGGATAAATTTAATCATTTAAGTATGAGATATAAGTCAATGTTTTTATTCCGGTAGATTTGAGGATAAATTTAATCATTTAACTATGAGATATAAGTCAATGTTTTTATTCCGGTAGATTTGAGGATAAATTAAATCATTTAGGTATGAGATATAAGTCAATGTTTTTATTCCGGTAGATTTGAAGATAAATTTAATCATTTAGGTATGAGCTATAAGTCAATGTTTTTATTCCGGTAGATTTGAGGATAAATTAAATCATTTGGTAGATTTGAAGATAAATTTAATCATTTAGGTATGAGCTATCAGTCAATGTTTTTATTCCGGTAGATTTGAGGATACATTCAATAAATAAGTTCGTAGAAGTAAACCAACAGCCTAATCAGACATGAGATAATGTTCAGACATGATGTAGCAGTATGAGATTAACTTTTATCATAAGCGCCTAAAACATTTCTTGAGATTCTAACCCAGAGTTTGCTATTGCTGTGTCTTTTATTATAACAGCTTGTCTTGTCATCATTAATTAAAATTGATGTCAGCTTTCTCGTTTAATTAATTAATATAGTTGACAGTTTGCTGCAAGTGATTGTTTGGTGATGGATTGATGATAAATTCGTTTAAATCATTAGATGGATTGATGATACAATCGTAGAAATAATTAGATGGATTGATGATGCAATCGTAGCAATCATTAGATGGATTGATGATACAATCGTAGAAATCATTAGATGGATTGATGATACACTCGTAGAAATCATTAGATGGATTGATAATACATTTGTAGAAATCATTAGATGGATTGATGATACATTCGTAGAAATCATTAGATGGATTGATGATACAATCGTAGAAATCATTAGATGGATTGATGATACACTCGTAGAAATCATTAGATGGATTGATGATACATTCGTAGAAATCATTAGATGGATTGATGATAAACTCGTAGAAATCATTAGATGGATTGATGATACATTCGTAGAAATCACTAGATGGATTGATGATACATTCGTA